GCCAGCCACAACAGCCACCTGGTCTTCTTCCATATCGTCTAAACTGCACTCAAGGCATGACTGCAGCTCACGTAGAATTAAGCTAGCTAGCTTGGGTTTGTCCATCTCGGATGCAGTCACAACAGCATGGAGCTCAGCACAGGTTGTGGTTCAGGACCCTGGGTCAATACCACGTCAAGTACTCAAGTGAATTAACTGAAACATGGTCCATGCAAGCTTCAAGTTACAACTTTGACCAGTGTAGACTTGCACTTAACCTGGGAACAACTGCAGAGAGCCTATCCACTAGCATCAGGGGGCTTTGGGCCAGCTCCCGAGCTCAGACACCCTAAGTTTGTACCATAGAGCTGGTGACCAATACTTCTGATACAGCCAGAACCTCTCAAGAGTCCTTGTTCAAATCTAGTGAAGTCCTAGGATTTTGACAGCAAAGGCTAGAAATCTGTGATATAGCAAGGAAATCTCTACATGCTGTTTCCCCACTCGGATAACTTGTATCTGGCTAACTACCAGCCATAACACTAAGCACAGGTCACACCAGGGAGGTATCTTTTTACCTGGGCATCTCCTGTTTCCTCCTCCTCTTCCAGGATTAGCTTCTTGAGCACTAAACGTTCAATTGAATTACTTGTGAAGCACATCAACAAAGCTAACGAGCCCAGGGACTGGGGTCTGGGAGGCACACAGGACAGATTAATTTCCCCCTTGCTTTGTTCTGCTGAATGTGAAAGGGCTTAACAGTGACCCTTGCTGATCCAGCAGCTAGCTGTAAATCTCCCCCTGCATTGAAGCGGCGCTGGCTCTCACCTCTCTGCAACAGGTGAGATGTTTGAATTAAGTGGCTGGCTGGAATATGATGCCCTGAATCAATCTGAATCGCGGACATCAGGTCAGAGCCTGTACGTGACAGATCTGGCAACTGATCTACCCCTAAATGACGGGCTCTCCCAGCCACTAACTTCAGGGCAAGAGTCGCCACTGCAGAATCAGGCTTTGAAATACGGCCATCCCGCCAATTCTGCATAGCTTTTGATGGGTCAGACAGATGCATGGATCCAGATCCCACCCAAGCTTGGTTACGACCGGACCCTGCTCTAAGAGCTGTGTTCAGAAATGGGTTTTCTGCAAAAAGAACAGGGGTACCCTGGAATTTTTCCACACTTCCCATTTCAGCAACTAAGGAGAAGATACTCAACAGGAGCATGGACATAGTTTCAGACATCCCCAATTTTTTCTGAAGGACCTACTGTCTGATGCCCGACTGGCATGCTGATGTTGTTCATGATTCTTCATGGTGGAGGAATGAGGCAGGGAGACAACAGAGACCAACGAAACCTACTGAGTTTGGTTTGTGGCTTCTGTCTGAGCAGGGTCTTGCTACAAACTGCAATTTGCCTATGTGATAAAGTGCTGAGCCAGGATGACCAAAGCTGCAAACCTGCAGATCATCCCAGTTGCGAATGCTAAACATCTGCATTTGGCAGGTTCCAAAATGACATTATTGCGATACACACGGCAGCATCCCCCATTTAGAGCACGACGGAGCACACACCAATAGCCTTTCAAGCCTGGTGCGCAAACACTATGAAAGGAGCTTTTGAAAGGTGCCGAGGTGATCCATAAACCAATTATCTGGACAGAATAATGTTGAAGAGGTACTAGAAACCCAAAGCAAACAGGCCAGGTCACTGACTAACCCAACCTTCCCTAAATCCAAGATATGCCCCTCAAAGAAATCACTGGATCCCCCGCCCTGCCCCTTTTTTTGCTTTCACCTTCTAAAACAGAGATCCGAGCCGATTCTTTTTCAAATCAATTGGCAGAAAGTGAGGGAATGACTTCCCAGCTAAGCCATTTGAATGCCCGACTTCACTTTACAGGCCTTGTTTAACAAGTTGTTGCCATGAAACGGTTGATGACTGGTTTTTACAATCAAAGCACTGAGACAGCCTACACTACAGCAGCTGTCCTTATACTAATGCTCTTACAGGCAGATCACAAAGTGCTGTGCAGGAGCTGAACATCCTTTCCAGTTTTCAGATGCAAAAATCCCAGCTTCAGTTTCCCCCCAGGAACACAATTCAAGGTAGAACCTCGAGTCATATTTGAGGGCAATTGGCTCCAGGCTCCCTGCTCACATATATTAGGCGAAGAACCCAAGACTCAGCAGAGAATAAGGAACAGAGCCACAAAGAGCCAGGATTCACCCATTTAGGCACGAGACAGAACAGTCTTGGTCTGTTAAGTCACCTATTTCTATAACAGAGGCAACAGACAGAGCACAAGGGTGTTGCCCAGGGACAGGGAAGTCAGCGACAAAAGAATAACCAAGCAGATCCTTCTACTGAAAGTGGAACTGATCTCCACTCAGGAACACTGTGAATCATTTTGGTCAAACCCCCCCCCCCCC